ATGTCAGTATAGAGGCTCTACTTTATGTAGACTTAAATTAATGTGAGATATGTACCTTCATATTCAGAAATCTGGATGTTTCCTTCATACATTAAACTATTAATAAGCATAACTTTTCTACTTGTGTAATTTAAGTATAAAGTAAAATTATGGGCATTATCAGTGGATGTTTCCTGACATTGGCTTTTAAAATATCTATCTGCTCTCTTTTCAGTTTGTTAGTAAGGCACATATTGAAGAAGAAATTTCTGACTTTTCCATGTTTTTTTTTTTCCCATTGCCTTTTCCACTTTTAAAACGAATGCACACTTCCTCTTCACTCTTTGTTCTCTGCTTACCTTTACCACTAATACGAGTGAAATTCTCTTGCTGATCGTGAACACCTTCTGTAAAGATTTGGATTGTAATGGCTGCTATGGAGAGATGGAGCGTCTTCATCAATACCAGTGGTTTCTTCTAACTATACAATGTTCAGACTTTCTGAGAATTTAAAAAGCCACCACTGTTCCCAGTCAGCATATACAAGCTCTTAATATACTGTTTATTATTAATTCAGTGTACTATTTTATATTGGATAATATTGATTCTTAACATTGGCTTTCCAGTCATCAAGAGTCAACATAAAAATTTCATTTTTCAGTAATTTAGTGGGAAGTATCTTATTTCTTTTCTCAGTTTGAAACACTTCTGGCTCTCTACACTTGTATATTATCAATGAAAAGGATCAACAGCTACCTTGGGCCAAGTAATAAAGCTTGCATTTGTCATTATGACAATTTATGGTAAATTCATGAATACACAGATTACAGTATAAAGTCTCCATTTAACCTGTTTATGTAAGATACAGGGCCACACTAAACTGCTCAGTGGGATTTATATATTCCATCCACTTGAAACAATAAATGGTAATGTATCCAAGAATATGTGTCCTACCCTGTCTCATATGGAAAAATAAATTATATGGTTGAAACACAAAAGTAAGCAAGCATGAAAGTGAAGTAATATATATATCAATTCGTCTTTTTTTTAAAAGTTAGACACAAACTCCACACTGATAAAACATAAATATTAACTAAAATTCAGAGATAGTATCCAGTTTTGACAGTATGGTTTCTTAACTTTTCAAATAAATGAAATGGATTTCTTCAGTCTGTAGACTGAGTAAAAAATAAAAAGGCAAATTCTCAAACATATCCAGAAGTTGTAAACAACACATTCATATCTTTTAATTTAGGAGGTGGTTTAAAATACATAATGTGGGTTTTTACTTATCTTTGATTAATATTCCCAAATATAAAGGAAAAGCTAAAAAATACCCTATAAAAATATAGCTATGAAGTAAAAGTCTAGCACTTTACTAAGAAAGTAGTATAACTTTATTTAACAGAGTATTCTGTATATGACTTTTGCCATATCTTTGGCCTAATTCTTTCCTGTGTTAATAACCAGGATTTTATATTACTATTTAAGATAACCCTGCTAGAGAACAGATACCACTTCATACTTTTTACAGAATCTTATTTGTGATGTTTCACTAAACTGAACCTTGGGAACTTTTTTTTACTTTAAAACTGTGGGGCAAGAGGATATAAATTGGAAAACATATTTAAATTTTGGGGTCAGGCTTGTTAAAAGTACAATACCATGGTGTTAGAAGCCCGTACTAGGGACATTTTTCAAAGACATTTTTTATATTCCCATGTAATGCAGTGCATTTTTATTTGAACAATAAAAAAACCTAATTTTTAAAGACCATACAGGTCTTTTTATTTCTATTTTGAAAGAAAGTATTTGTGTATATGCAGACTACATGATGTATTTATATTCTGTCATTCTTTTTTAAGGAGTGATTTAACTCTCAGAAATAATACTTGGGTTAGTTCACAAGGTAAATCCAAAAATAACTAATGCCCCAGTTATTGTATAATCTCTTTAAACCAAGCATTCCATTTCAGAGATGACTATTTCCCAGTTCCAAGAAAGTCTCCCATTTCATGCCTTTTCAACATATAAATTTTAGCATAACATTTTCACAGTCTGATTTTAGTAAATGAAAATTAATTTTTTGGTAAATTACTAATAGTCATTTTCATTCTCTGGTAGAAGAATAAATTACGTTTCAACTTATCCTGTCTTATTCATCACATAAACAGTACTACATCTGTCCTTTGATTCAAATGAACTATATTAACATTTCATAGTAGTTATAACAATTATTTTATACATTATATTCACTCATTAAAAACAGTACAAAGTGTTAGACTAAATGGAGAGATTCAAAATCACAAAACCTCTTCAGATACTCTGATTTACTCAAAATATTTTCACTTTACTGGTTTTCAAAAGTGTTCATTCCCACAGGTCTGGCACTTTTAAAATCAGGATTATTTCAGAATGATTAAAAACAAACCAGTTTATTCATTTTAATCACTGCAAGAAGAGATTCAGTACTCCCTTCTCTCAATGTATTTTTATTTTAGATAAATACATCTACCCAGATTACCTTACACTTTAAATATTAATATTAGGTATGGGCCCCTCAATATCTTAATATACCACCTCATTGATAAATGTGTAGTTAAGTCACTGCATTTGATTAACGCAAGTGGCTGGAATTTAAGATGAACAAATTAGTGCATTAATATACTTAGTATGTTGCATACCATGATTGCAGAAATATACAAAAATAAACTACAGGACAAACAGCTGTGTCATAAGAAAATTCATTTTATACTTCTGCCTTTAAGTGAATTAATATTTTTGAAAAATAAATGCCAACTCCACATGTTTGACTCTTGAATATTAAGATGAAAGAAGGGCCGGCGCCGTGGCTCACTAGGCTAATCCTCCGCCTTGCAGCGCCGGTACACTGGGTTCTAGTCCCAGTTGGGGCACCGGATTCTGTCCCGGTTGCCCCTCTTCCAGGCCAGCTCTCTGCTGTGGCCAGGGAGTGCAGTGGAGGATGGCCCAGGTGCTTGGGCCCTGCCCCCACATGGGAGACTGGGAGGAAGCACCTGGCTCCTGCCATCAGATCAGCACAGTGCTCCAGACGCGGCGGCTGTTGGAGGCTGAACCAACGGCAAAGGAAGACCTTTCTCTCTCTCTGTCTCTCTCACTGGCCACTCTGCCTGTCAAAAATAAGAAAAAAGTTGAAAGAAGTTTTTCCAATAAAGAAGGAGAACAGCTATTTCTAGATAACATTAGTTTTAAAAAGTAATGCCTGAAAAAAATAAGAAAAAGAAAAGTAAATCTGATTCCAAGGGATAATTTTAACAATTACTCACAAAAAGATTTTTTGAAAAAGTTCAGAAGGCATATTTGGGGAATGAGAAATCTAAATGACTTTATGATGATAATAGCCTGTATTAAACTTTTGAGCACTCTTAATTCACTCTGCTGAAACAATATTGACCTGGTGGCTTAAACAACAATTTTTTAAATCATTTATTTAAGAGGCAGAGTTAGAGGGAAGGAGAGACAGCAAGGTCTTCCATCGGCTGGTTCACTCCCTATGTGTCCATGACAGCAGAAAGTGGGCCAATCCAAAACCCTGAAGCCTGGAGTTTCTTCCAGGTTTCCCATGTGGGTGCAGGGGCCCAGGCACTTGCGCCATCTGAGGCTGCTTTCCCAGGCGTGTTAGCAGGAAGCTGGATTGGTAGTGGAACAGCTGGCATTGGACCAGGTGCTCACAGGAATGTTGGTAGGACACGTGGCAGCCTAGCCCACTATGCCACAATACCAACTCCCTCACAGATAAAATTCTAAGAACATGATACTTCCCTCCTCTCCCTCCTTTCCTCCTCCTTCCTTTTTTTAATTTTTGCAAAACTGCATTTTCCATTTACCTGATAATCACAGGCTTAATGCTACACTAAAGAGTTCAAGTAAAAAGATGACTTCCTCAGGAGTAACAGGCTATAAATGATAAATCAGAAGATGTCAGTTTCACTAACGCATTAAGCCTTTTTTGTACTCTATTAGATGAGCACAAATCAGAGAAAACATTTGTCTTTTTGTGTCTGATTTCACTAAGTATAATGGTCTTCCGTTACATCCATTTTGTTGCAAAAGACAGGATTTCATTTTTAATAGCTGAAAAGTATTACAATATGTATTCAAACAATATACTCTTAAAAAATTTGTTCTGCCAGTGATAATTCTTTTTAAGTGCAAAGGACTTTTGTTGTTTTAAGTTTTATTTGAAGGGAGAGACCGATCTTCCATCTTCTAGTTCACTCCCCAGATGCCCCCAATGGGCCAGATCAAGCCAGGAGCCAGGAGCTTCCTGGCCTCCTAGGTGGGTGCAGGGGCCTAACGACTCGGGCCATCCTTTAGTTCTTTCCCGGGTGCATTAGCAGATAGCTGGATCGGAAGTGCTACAGTCAGGTCGCCCGTAAGGGATGCTGGTGGCAGCTTAAACTGCTGTGCCACAGCGCCGGCCCCAGTGACAGTTCTTAAATCAGGTGATGGTACGTTACCCTTACTGTAAGACTTGCTATTTATAGCCCAATACAGGGAAGAGAAAGGTTGCAGGTAGAGTTGAAAACTGCTAATGCAAACGCACCACTAAAACCTTACGCCGCACACAGAGCTGTGTCCGGTACCTACAGACCACTGATTAACACCGGGTCAGCCTGAAACGTGCCGCCTCTCAAGCAGGCATTTCAACAACCCGTTGACTCTGGGTAGTGTAAGTTCCGGTCATCTACAGAAGGTAAATGGCACCACTGGTATTAATGAAAAAGAACGGAAATACACTAAGTGACAACAGGAGCCCTCCGGCAGGAGCAGGACGCGATCCACTCGTAGCAGCAGACTCCGCCCGGGTCCCTCCACTTCCGGCCTGTCCCGCGAGGAGCTCCAGCCTTGAAGCATGAAAGTTGAGCGTGCACACAATAGCTCCGCCCCGTATCTCGTGGGAAAGGCGGGGCTTCCTTAGCTCTTACGTCATATCTAGTGCGACGAAAGACGTCACCGGCTTGACTAGAAAGGTCAAGCGCACGCACCTTACGCCTGTGTCTTCGGCGCATGCGCGTGATGGTCTCCGCCCAGAGGCACGCGCCGTAGGTTCTGTGGGGTGCGCGCACTAGACTCTTCCTTGGAGCAGAAATGCTTTGCCGGCTGGGCGCCTGGAGCGTTCGGCAGATTTCTGCCGCGCAGCTCCGAGCCTCAGGCCCGCCGCTACTGCCGGCGCCAACGATTGGTGCCCAGCGTCCCGCTCTCCCAGTGTGGTCAGTGGCGTCGGTGTCTGCAGTTGGCGCGAGCGGCTGGTATGAGGCGCTGGCCGCGTCGGCGCCCGTCCGCGCCGCGGAGGAAGCGCTGCTCGCCGCGCACGCTGCCACGGGCCTTCCGTGGTGGGGCAGCATCTTGCTCACCACCGTGGCCTTGCGGGGCGCCGTCACGCTACCCCTGGCCGCCTATCAGCACTACGTTCTGGCCAAGGTGAGGGGCGCTGAGCCGCGGGTACCCTGCGCGGCGGAGGAAGGTCGCCGCCCCCCGTGACTCGGAGAAAAACCTCGCTAGCGCTGGTTGTGTGACACGTGCCCTGGCTCGTACACTTGTCATTTCCTTTGTCCTGCTGGGTTTGCGCTCGAAGCACCAGGGTTGGTCACACTGGCTCTTAAAAGAATCGGGACAGAGGGTTCAGTCGGAGAAATATCTGTGAAATCATCGTCTTGAGGTTTCAACAGCCGCTGTGCCTGTAGCATCTTTTGGCCCAGTTGATCTTTCTTATTAGAAACTACTAAGCTAACCCTTTGCAAATTTGATTTCCTGTCTAGGCCTGCGATCTGCAAGCCTGTGTCTTGTTAGTTGCAGGCACTTTTCATTTTCTTTGCCGTGCGTCCTGGATAACATTACTTCCCTTGCCTAGTCCACATCGTTTAGATATCAAACTGGATAAGAGGTTAAGGTGCTTTGAAAACAAGGGATTATTGAAACGGCAGATTTCAAAAATAATGACTTTCTTGTTTTCAGATAAACTAGGAAGGGACTCAGCAGCAAGGAGGCTGTTACTTTACCGGAAAAATTAACACATGCAGAGATAGATGCAATTTATTTTTGACTTTGTGGCTATCACAGTGTATTTTAAAACTCTTATTTATCAGACTGCTATTTTATTACTGGGAAATCTGATAGGACAGGAAAGCCCAGGGTGCAGTTCTCATTTTATCCTAGTAATAACCCTGTGACTAAGCATAGGTACCGTGACATGTTTTATAATTGAAGGAACAAAATTCTTGAGGTTAGGTAACTTGCCTAGGATCACAGGTACGTATCCAAGCTGGAATTTGAATTTGGTTGTGACTGAGAACATTTTAGCTTTAGACTTAATGTTTCTTGACATGATCAATAAATTTTTAAATGAGTTGAAGAAGTAAAGGAAAATGATGAGTGGTTAGGAATAAAGAACAGATTCTACTTTTTCTTTAGCTAGGTGGAAAATTTGCAACCAGAAATAAAAAGCATCGCCAGCCGTCTTAACCAAGAAGTTGCATTGCGTGCAAATCAGTTTGGGTGGTCCAAAAGAGTTGCCAGGTAAGCTAATTCCATGCATGTAAGACTATAAATATATGTAATGCATAAATTTGACGTCGATTATAGGTTTATATAGGTTTAGTATTCTGTAGCTTTTTTTCCCAACTCATTCAGATTTTAGTAATGTGTGTGGCATGAAAGTTTTATATACTGTACTGGAAGTAGAGCAACAAGAAACAAAGATAATAGCATATTCCCATTGAGAAAGACCTGTAATCAAATACTGATGGCAGTGAGTTGAGTACTGTATTAAGATTCCGTACTAGGAAGCTAGATCATCAAGGTGAATCATGGAAGGGACCTTGGTCAGCAGGTGACACAGATTGTTTACAGATGTGAGCTGTTTTGAAAAGATACAGCTCACAAGGATAGGGAGGAAGAATATGTGTATGATATGGTAGAAGCACCTGGATAGCCCGTTCACTGTGGTTACCCTGTGCCTTTGTGTGCTGACTTCTTGGAAATGCCTTGTCTTGTCTAGGTGTGCTTGGCTGTGCCCGTGGATGCCCATAATCATCCATGAGATCCAAGTCGTCCTGCTTCCATCAGCTTAGTGCTTAGTTACAAGCAAGTTTTCCAAATTCAATTCCCTGACTAGACTGTGAAAAAATATTCACCAGCTCGCATGAATGAGAAAAACAAGGGCTTTGTAGTATGAATGTGTGTAAAATGTGTTGTTAAGCATGTACTGTTAGAAAAGTATAAATTTGTCAGTTTTCTTTAATATGAGATTGTGTCTGTCTTAAAAAAGATCTGACATTTTAAAAAGCATAGTGATAGCTTAGTGTTTTTATTTGATACAATTAGAAGTTGACAGACATGTAGCTTTGAAGTTTTACCCATCAGAAAAATCTGAGAACTTCAGCCAAAGTCTGAAAGAAAACATTAGGGGCTGGCATTGTGACATAAACAGTTAAGCTGCCGCTTACAACAACAGCATCCCTTACGCCTGCTAGCTCAAGCCCTGGCTGTTCCACTTTCCATCTAGTTCCTTGATAATGTGCCTGGGAAAGCAGAAGAAGATGGCCCAAGTGCTTGGGCCCACACACACATGTGGGAGACCCTGATAAAACTCCTGAATTGTGGCTTTGGCCTGGGCCAGCCCTGGCTCTTGCAGCCATTTGGGGGAGTCAACAAGTAGATGGAGGATCTCTCTGTCTCTCTTTATCTATCTCTCTGTAACACTTTCAAAAAATAAAATTTTTAAAAAAGATTTCTTGGGGCTGGCGCTCTGGTATAGTGGGTAAAGCCGCTGCCTTCAGTGCCGGCATCCCATGTGGGCACCGGTTCAAGTCCCGGCTGCTCCACTTCTGATCCAGCTCTCTTCTATGACCTGGGAAAGCAGTAGAAGATGGCCCAAGTCCTTGGGCCCCTGCACCCACATGGGAGACCCAGAAGAAGCTCCTGACTCCTGGCTTCAGATTGGCGCAGCTCTGGCCATTGCAGCCAATTGGGGAGTGAACTAGCGGATGGAAGACCTTTCTCTGCCTCTCCTTTTCTCTCTGTGTAACTCTGACTTTTCAAATAAATAAATAAATAAATCTTTAAAAAAAAAAAGATTTATTTATTTGAGAGGCAGAGAGAGACAGATCTTCCATCCACTGGTTCAATCATCCCCAAATGGCTGCAATGGCTGGAGCTTCTTTGGGATCTTTCACGTGGGCACAGAGGCCCAAGGACTTGCACCATCTTCCACTGCTTTCCTAGGCACATTAGCAGGGAGCTGGACCAGAAGTGGAACAGCCAGGACTTGAACCAGCACCTATATGGGATACTGGCGCCACAGGCAAAGGCTTAACCTAATATACCACAGTGCTGGCCCCATAAAATAAATCTTTAAACACACACACACATTAAATGGCTGATATACCTAACTAAAAATCTAAGCCTAGATAATTCTTGTAGGACCTGCTTGTCCTGGGATGATGGTTGTCCAGACACACCCTTACACAGATGGATGAGTTTCTAGGGGGACAACTCTGAGGACTTCCTTCATTTTCATTAGTACTAAGTCTTGAAGGGTAAAAGTGAGTTTCTCAGTGGACAACTAGTAATGTGAGCTGTTGACAAAGATAATATGTTTCCAAAAGGCATGGTGATCTAGAAGTGTGACTTGTTGATGACCTGCAGTCATTTAGGAACCAGAACATGCAAGTGTCTGTGGAGGAGTAACAAGAAACGATGTTGAAGAATAGTCAGGCACTAAATTATAAAGGGCCTAGAATGTCTGTATACTATCCTAATTCAGTATGCTGTAATCTGAGTTGAGTGCCTGCTTTGTACTAAACTTAAGGTAGAGGAGATTTAAAGATAACACCCAACACTTGCCATTAAGGAGACCATGTCCAGAAAGTAAGACTTAAGAAGAGAATGAACTAGTGTGGTTAACAGAATCTTCCTAAAAGAGAGTTGATTTTAAAAAATGGGGACCAGGGCCAGCATGGTGGCATAACGAGTCTGCAACACTGGCATCCCATATGGGCAGCAGTTTGAATCCTGGCTGCTCCACTTCCCATCAAGTTCCCTGCTAGTGCGCCTGGAAAAGCAGTGGATGATGACCCAAGTGATTGGGCCCTTGCACCCATATCAGAGACCTAGGATAAGCTCTGGGCTCCTGGCTTTGGCCTGGCCCAGTCCTGCACCTAGCAGTCATTTGGAGAGTGAACCAGTGGATGGAAGATCTCTCTCTCCCTCCCCTGCCCAATTCTTTCAAATAAAATAGATCTTTAAAAAAAAAATGGGGACCATTTTGACCAGCCAAGAACAGACCTAGGACAAACCCACATAGCTGCAAAAGGTCTATTCAGGGATCAAGGGATTAGGTTTGTCTGGAGAGGAGAGAACTGAATAATAAAGGCATTTGGCCTTAGTATTTCTGATATTGTCATGCTATGTCAGCAGTGAAATTTCCTTCTTAAGCGTTATTGGCTGGGGCTGGAGCTGTGTCGCAGTGGGTTAAAGCCCTGGCCTGAAGCGCCGGCATCCAATATGGGCACTGGTTCTAGTTCTGGCTGCTCCTCTTCGATCCAGCTCTCTGCTATCGCCTGGGAAAGCAGTGGAAGATGGCCCAAGTCCTTAGGCCCCTGCACCTGCATGGGAGACTCGGAGGAGGCTCCTGGCTCCTGGCTTCAGATAAATAAAATAAATCTTTAAAAAAAAAGTAAAAGTTTAATTGGCCAGAGACCACCAGAGACAATGCCTGTTGTCTGACAGTGTCAGATTTTGTGGAGCATTGAGTACTTCATATCCATGCTATGGAAGTTTTAATAAAAGACCTGATTTGCCTTTTGTTTAGGCAGCCGCTTGATAAAACTATGACAACTAAAACCCCCATATAAATCCTTGGCCATTAAGCACAGCATGGGTACATTTGTGCCATGGGGAGGAAGTCCTTCAAGTAGTCAAATAACATTTTCTCTTTCCTCTTTTTCTCCCTTCTGTTGATCCAGGCTCACTTATCTAAGGAATATGAAGAGGCTTGTTTCAGAACTGTATGTTCGGGATAATTGCCACCCGTTCAAAGCCACTGTCTTGGTTTGGGTTCAGCTTCCCATGTGGATCTTCATGTCTGTTGCTCTGCGGAATTTTAGCACAGGGACAGCACATTCAGAAGGTAACTGTTGCAGTAGTCTATTTCATCGAGATAGGTTCTCTAACTGTGGTGTTTGTACTTCAGAAAAAGAAAGAAAGGAACCCTACTTTTCATACTTGGAATATGTTTATTATTTCCTGACAAGGGTGTAATATGTGAACTCTTAAGTGTAAACAGACTAACTATGTTGAGAGAAACATCTTGTCTTGAGGAAAGATAAGCTGAATGAAAAGAATCCGTGCTGATCTTTGGTGTGAGGGACACCTTAATGGAATTGTTAGGCTACATATGTCTTGTGTCTTGTATATTTCCCTTAACCATCTTTAGGTGTTCTCTTGTTTTATTTAAAACTGTTTCAGCAGGTCTTTCTGTTCAGGAGCAGTTTACTACTGGAGGGGTCCTTTGGTTTCCTGACCTCACTGCACTGGATTCCACTTGGATTTTGCCTGTGTCTGTTGGTGTCATCAATTTATTAATAGTGGAGGTCAGTGGCTTTAAGAGATTTGTTTGCCATTTTTGTCATTGGGGCCTTTGTTGATACTGTTTTGGTGTCAAATACACCTGTGTCTGAGTTGGCGCCATCACTTTGAGCTAGAATTGAGGCACCTTGATTTCTGGTCCCATATCAGCCATTGACTTAGGCCAGTCCCTTAACTTCTCTGTAGGGCTCAGAATTCTCCTGATTGAGAACGCTGAATGAGATCACTTTCAAAGTCTCTCAGCTTTAAGATTTCATGATTCTCAGCATATGAAAGAGTAATATGTACCCCTGTGCTTGTTGCAGCACAATTCACAATGGCTGATATGGAGTCAACCCAGATGTCCATCTACTGATGACTGGATGAAGAAATTATGGTATATATACATTATGGAGTACTACTCAGCTGTGAAAAAAATGAAATCCTGTCTTTCTGCAACAAAATACAATTAACTGGAAACAGTTGTACTTAGTTAGATAAGCCAATCTCAAAAAGACATATATCATGTTGTCCCTGATCTGGGGTATCTAATAGAGTACCCTGAAATGTAACATTAGAGTGAGAGAGACATTTTGAGATTTGATGATAGTTTACAGCCCTTGTCTATTTTGTTGAGGAACAGTGGGTTTTTTTTCTTGATTTTTAATAAAAATATTACTTAGTTGGGGTTAACCTTATGATCATTAAGTAAACAAAGTAGAAATTAAGAGTGGGAATGGGAGAGGGAGGAGGGCAGGTTGGAGTGTGGGTATGAGGGAGGGTGGGGTAGGAAGTATCACTATGTTTCTGAATCTGTATATATGAAATACATGAAACTTGCATAACTTAAATAAAATTCAGAAAAAAGATTTTGTGATTCTAAGACATACTATTATATGACTTGCTTTTGGTAAAAAAACAGTAATTAAGATGCCCAGTTAATCTGATTTTAGTCCCACAATACAGTTACAGTGTTTTATGAATGTGCTTTATTTAACATGTCAGTTTGTAGGCAATGACCAGTCGCTCCTAGACTGCTAATTTCTTGCTGTGTGACAGTGGAAAAGTCATTCAGTTTTTTGTTTGTTTGTTTGTTTTCATATGATGAAGTGGAAAAAATGTTGTACACATAAAATATGGCCTCTGAGTCAGTCCTGTCTAAGCCTTTATCCCATGGTGCTCAACTCAACAGTTTAGGGAAATCATGTTTATAATTTCATAAAGAACTGTTCTCACACCCTGAGTAGAACACAGACTCAACCTTAGAAATGATGTGAGTTCAAATCTCATGTACCTCCTGTCCACTGTTCCCTGGTTTGGAAACCTGACATACCTGTCATCTTTACAGATGAGGAAAATGAAATGATAGAATCTGATACTGTGGTGAAAGATTGTTAAAGACACCATGTGTAGTGTGAATGTGCTTCTTAAGAGCTCCTTTGTCTGTTCAGAACATAGTATTCTCCATGTGGTTGGTATTCAGTGAGTGTTTTATAAAAGAAGGAAGTGATAAAATACAAGATCACAGTGATCTTAATGCCAGTCATCTGGTCTTCCCCTCTATACCAGCTAACAACAAGCTCATTCTGACTTAGTGTGCTCTATGTGCCAGCCACTGTTTTAAGCAAGGTACATGGATTAACTTGTTTAATTTTAAAATAACCTGTAACGTAGGTACTTCTAGCTCCATTTTATTGATTTATTTGAAAGGCAGAATTAGAGACAGAGAGTGAGATCTTCCATCCACTGGTTCACTCCCCAAATGGCCAGAAAGGCCAAAGCCAGAAGCTTCTTCCAGTTCTCCCATGTGGGTGCAGAGGCCCAAGTATTGGGCTGTCTTCTGTGGCTTTCGCAGGGGCATTAGAAGAGAGCTGGATCGGCAGTGGAACAGCTGGGACTTGAACTGGCACCCATATGGGCACAGGCAGCCTCTTTACCTGCTGTACCGCAGTGCCAGCCCCTATCTCCATTTTAAAGTGGAGAAAGTGAGGCACAGAAAGGTTAAGTGACTTCTGCAGTGTTACCCAGCCGCTAAAGCTGCAGGGCTGCCACCTTAATTTAGGTGCTGTGACTTCAGAGTCACCTGGCATTGTGTTTCCTAGTAAGTTACTCAGGAATCCTGACTGCTCGTCCCCACCTTGGTTCTTCCCCCTTCCTTTTTGTCCTTTATCTTTCGAGTGCCTTCTCTGTGCCAAGCAATGTGCTTATCTTCGAAGGACTCGTTGTGTTCTATGTAAGAATTTTGCCTGATTATTAAAATTTTTAGTAGATAATAAACTATACAAATACATCAGTGTTGGGGCCGGCGCTGTGGCATAGCAGGTAAAGCCACCGCCTGCAGTGCTGGCATCCCATAGGGTGCTGGTTCGAGACCCGGCTGCTCCACTTCTGATCCAGCTCTCTGCTATGGTCTGGGAAAGCAGTGGAAGATGGCCCAAGTCCTTGGGCCCCTGCACCCACGTGGGAGATCCGAAAGAAGCTCCTGCGCAGCTCTGGCTGTTGCAGCCATCTGGGGAGTGAGTCAGCGGATGGAAAGCCTCTCTCCCTCTCTCCTCTCTCTGTGTAACTCTGACTTTCAAGCAAAATAAATAAATCTTTAAAAAAAATCAGTGTTTAATTTTTTGCTTTTTGTATTTTTTTTAAGATTTATTTATTTTAAATGTTACATAGAGGGAGATCTTCCATCTGCTGGATCACTCCCCAAATGGCCACAACGCCTGGGGCTGAGCCAGACCAAAGCCAGGAGCTTATTCAGGTTTTCCACGCAGGTGCAGGGACCCAAGCATTTGTGCCATCTTCCACTATTTTCCCAGGCACATTAGCAGGTAACTGGATCAGAAGTGGAGTGGCCAGGACATGAGCTGGTGCGCATATAACATACTGGCATCACAGGGTTAACCCATTACACTTCAATGCCAACTCCAGTTTTTGCTGTTGTTGAAGTATGGAGGAGGCCAGTCAAAAGTCTTTATCATTTAAAGCTTGTCTAATTTAACATGCATTTTAATAATCATTGTGTGTTTTTTTATTCTGTCCCTTCAGATTTTTGCTCTACAGAAAGCTGGAATGTCTCGTTTTCAGATATACATCACCCACTTTGTCCGCACACTGTCAGTTTTGATGATTCCAATTGCTGCAACCGTCCCTTCAGTGAGTAAGCATGAGCATTGTGTGACGCGTGTGCTTCACAGCCCCTGTGCTCAGCCTCGACTGCCTGCGATCCCTGCCTCTTCCATTGAGCCTGTTGACTACATTACCCCTTAGCAATTTGAGTTTCTGCAAGAACTAACCTTCCGTCTCTATCGCAAAGTGACTTGGACTGTTTCTTGGGATTGGTATATCTTCTTTTATATGAATGTGTCATAACGCTCTTACTTTTTTCCTGCCTCTTTTCCTTTTCTATTTTATTTTACTTTTTTTTTTAGATTTATTTATTTATTTGAGAAGCAGTTACAGGGAGAGAGGTCTTCCATTTGCTGGTTTACTTCCCAAATGGCCTCCATGGCCAGAGCTGAGCAGGCATGAAGCCAGGTGCAAGGAGGTGCTTCTGGGTCTCCCACATGGGTCCAGGGCCCAAGCACTTGGACCATCTTCTGCTGCTTTCCCAAACCATAAGCAGAGAGCTGGATTGGTAGAAGAACAGCTGGGACACAAACCAACAAGCCATATGGGATGCCGGAGCTACAGGCAGAGGCACTACACCACAGCACAGGCCCGATGCCTCTTTTTCTTTTCTTTTCTTTTCTTTTCTTTTTTTTAAGATTTATTTATTTATATTTGCAAGTCTAGAATTACACAGAGAGAGAAGGAGAGGCAGAAAGAGAGAGGTCTTCCATCCACTGGTTCACTCCTCAGTTGGCTGCAGTGGCCGGAGCTGCACCAATCTGAAGCCAGGAGCCAGGAGCTTCTTCTGGGTCTCCCATGTGGGTGCAGGGGCCCAAGGACTTGGGTCATCTTCTACTGCTTTCCCAGGCCATAGCAGAGAGCTGGATCAGAAGTGGAGCAGCCGGAGTCTTGATGGGGATAAGCAGTCTTACTGCTGAAGAGAGATGGTGCGACCTCCCTCACTGGGCCCCGGCGAGGGAGTTGCTCTCTGTCATCCTGTTTTCACCTTAAATGCCTCTCTGTTTGCTTCGTAGTCTTGATTCAGCCGTTTTTGCCTGTCCATTGGATGTGTCCCAGGCACTCAGTAGCTGCTGCAGGTCTTGCTCAGTCCAGGTCGTTTCTCTTTGCAGAGTGTGTCATTGCCTTTTTTTTTTTTCCCTGCCCATATTTGGACCTTGGTGTCCCTCAGGAGTGGTGAGTGCTAACATTTGTGTCTTCCCTCTCCAGTCACTTGCTCTCTACTGGTTGTGCTCCAGCTTCATGGGCCTCTCCCAGAACTTGCTGTTGCGTTCTCCTGGATTTCGCCGGCTCTGCCGAATACCGTTGACCAAGTCAGATTCAGACACTCCGTATAAAGACCTGTTTGCTGCCTTTTACACCAAGTTCCTTTTAAGAAAATGATATATTTTTCAGTAATTTTGAAACCATGTAAGAGTCACTGTTAACTGTAATGTATTTAGATTTAGAAACCAGTGTATTATTTAATTTGCCATTGCTTAAACTTGTAAACTCCTCAAAGTATGGTGGATTAAAATGTAATCCAGATATATGATAATAATAAAAATCATTTAAGTGTTAGAAATGTAGTCTGTATAATTGTAAAAGAATGTAAAAATGGAACCCAAGTGTTTATCCCTGTTTATAAAATTACAGCTTGTTAATGGTGCCAGACTTTGAAGAACAAGATTAAATACTGAATGATGTCATATTGTACAAAACTGTCCCATGCTTTAATATTTTGTAAAATAAAAGGATCATGTGATGTGACTGCTAATATTCTGTTGGTAGGGAGGGTTATAGACCTATTTAAGCGTCTGATAAAAGTTTTTCTCTTCAAGGAAATCCCGGCACTCGCAGTATAAGGATATTGATCAACACCTCTGAAGGTATTGTGTCAAATCCTAGTAGAAGTCTTACCCTAGTGAAACATAACATTGAATTTGGGTAAAAAACAGTTTTGTTTTTTTTTTTTTAAGATTTATTTATTTATTTGAAAAAGTTACACACATAGAAGGAGAGGCAGAAAGAGAGGACTTCTATCCGCTGGTTCACTCCCCAGTTGGCCGCAGCAGCTGGAGATGTGCCAATCTGAAGCCAGGAGAGGAGCCCAGCACTTCTGTGTCTCCCACACGGGTGCAGGGGCCCAAGGACTTGGGCCATCTTCTAGTGCTTTCCCAGGGCATAGCAGAGAGCTGGATCAGAAGTGGAGCAGCCGGGCCTCGAACCAGCACCCATATGGATGCCTGCACTGCAGGCAGTGGCTTTACCTGCTACACCACAGCACTATCCCCAAAACAAGAGATCTTGAAGTATGATCATCCAAGCATACAAGTACCTAATGTGTAGATAATGTTGCCTTTCAGCTTTGCTGTAAAACAATTTAAAAACTATACATCCCTTTGTAATTTGAGAAGTCTGGAATACAGAGTATGATATTTTGCATTGTTAAATCATAGTCAAAAATTTTGAGCATTAAATTTGTTGGTCAAAGGAAGAAAACTAGAAGAATTGCCACCTATTATAGAGGTGATTTTAAACTTGTTTAGAGGGAGATGTTTAGCCTAGTAGCTAAAACACCCATTAAAATGCATGTAGCCTGCACTGGATTACCTGGGTTCAATTCCAGGCTCAGGCTCCTAACTCTAGCTTCCTGCTGATACAGATTCTGGGAGGCAGCAAAATGGCTGAAGTAATTGGATTCCTGCCACACATGTGGGAGACCTGCCTTGTGCTTCCATCCTAGCACACAACCCCTGCTGTTCCCAGCCCCAGCCATTCATGGGATTTAGGGAGTGAACCAGTGGATGGGAGCTCAAGCTCTCTCACTTGCTCGCTCGCTCTCTGGCTCTCTCTGCCTCTCAAGTAAAAATAAATTTTTAGTTAATACAAAAATAAACTAGTTTACTTGGAAACGTTAAATGATGAGATTATCATAGAGGCTTAAGTTAGGAAAAATGCATGGTACAAATTATGAAACCAGTTTGTTTAATTCACAAAATGATTAGATTAAATTAGCTGAGATATTTGGGGACTGGCCAGACATTTAAAAAGGTGTTTTTTGTTTTTTTTTTTTTTTTGACAGGCAGAGTGGACAGTGAGAGAGAGAGACAGAGAGAAAGGTCTTCCTTTGCCATTGCTTCACCCTCCAACCCTCCAATGGCCGCCACGGCTGGCGCGCTGCGGCCAGTGCACTGTGCGCTGACCCGAAGGCAGGAGCCAGGTGCTTCTCCTGGTCTCCCATGGGGTGCAGGGCCCAAGCACTTGGGCCATCCTCCACTGCCCTCCCGGGCCACAGCAGAGAGCTGGCCTGGAAGAGGGGCAACCAGGACAGAATTCGTCGCCCCGACTGGGACTAGAACCCGGTGTGCTGGCGCTGCTAGGTGGAGGATTAGCCTATTGAGCCGCGGCGCCGGCCTGAAAAGGTTTTAAGTGTAAATTTTCACTGAGTTAAAACAGGGACCTGATTCTGAGAAACCCTATTTATATATATAAAATATATATTTATGTATTATATTTATATAATATGTATTTATATATTTATAAATATATATAAATATACTGTATTATATATTATATAAATATATAATTTTTATGTAATAATTCATCTCACTGTTTTACCATAAAGTAAAAAGTAAAATCAGTCATTACTCTGAGTGATGTTTGCTAAATCTTAGTTGCCCTGTTTCATGAAGCTGTGCAGGCTTTACTATAAAGTAATGCACAGCATGTGGAGGTAAGAATTGTGGCTGGCATGCTCCTGCAGCTTGCTGAGAAAGGTAACTGGTGGTAACTGAGAACAGGTTCTCTCCCGGAATTCCCAGTCCTGGTTTATGACTGCCCTGTTCAGGCAACAGTGCTTCCCAGTCACAGTCAAGGACCTGAGGCGTGTGTTCACGTGGTCCACAGTATTTGGTGGTTTCATCACTGTGCATCTGCCTCTTTTGTAAAATGTATTCAGAACCCCCAAATCAGTGCTTGCTGTGCTTTTATATTTTTTGTTCTAAAGATTTATTTATTTGAAACAGTTACAGACTGGGAGAGACAGAGAAATGTCTTTAATCTGCTCATTCACTCCCCAAACGGCCACAATGCCCAGAGCTGGGCAAGGCTGTACCCAAGAGCCAGGAGCTTCTTTGGGTCTCCCACGTGGGTGGCAGCGGCCATGTTCCACTGCTTTCCCAGGCTGTTAGCAGGGAGGTGGATCAGAAGTGGAGCAGCCAGGACATGAACTTCCATTTCTATACATCTCTTTAGACCACTCTGGAATGATAGGATTATCTTTTGTGTTCCTTGAGATGACTAGTTGCAGGGAGGGTGGGAGTTTTCATCAACCAGAAATGCATGCCCCACCCTCAGCCTCTGGGCAGAGGGAAGGGCCCATGGTTTGATCAGCCACGCCTACCTCATGAAGTTTCTATAGCAAACTGAAAGGTCTGCTCCAGGGTATGTTCCAGGAGGGTGGCTTACCTGGAGAGGGCAGATGCTCCACCCCTCTTGCCCTGCACCTTGCCACATGCTCCTTTTCCCTGCTGGGGGGAAAATTGCCACATATTTTGATGAGCAGAGGTGATCAGTATTGAGAGTTAAAAGTAAGAGCATTGGAGGCTGGTGGGTAAAGCCACCACCTGCAGTGCCTGCATCCCATGTGAGCACCAGTTCAAGTCCTGGCTTCTCCACTGCTGGTCCCACTCTCTGCTTACAGCCTGGGAAAGCAGTAGAAGATGGCCCAAGTTTTGGGTCCCTGAACCCGCATGGGAGAATTGGAAGAAGCTCCTGGCTCCTGGCTTAAGATGGGCCCAGCTCCATTAGTAATGGCCATTTAAGGAGTAAACCAGTGGATGGCCGGGTTTTTTTTTTTCTCTCTGCCTCTCTCTAACTCTGCCTTTCAAATAAATAAATCTTTCCTTTCAAATAAATAAATCTTTAGGATTGGACATTGTGGCATAGCTAGTTAAGCCACCACTGCTCAAGACGCCCACATCTATATCCGTGTCGGTTCCAGTCCTGGCTACTCAACTTTTAATCCAGCTCACTGCAAATGGACTTCAAAAGAAGTGAAAGATGGCCTAAGTACTTGGAGCCCTGCCACCCACATGGGAGACCCAGATGGATTCTGAACTCCTGGCTTCAGGCTGGCCCAGCCCTGCCTGTTGGAGGCATTTGGGGAGTGATCAACACATTGTCTCCAACACTTTTTCAGTTAAGTGAATCTCCTTTCCTGGGCATACTTCATAGATGGTGATTCCCTATGATTTCAAAAATGTCTTATTGTACCCAATTTCATAGTATTCTCCCATTTCAAACTCTCAAAGTTGAAACTGCTTTTCACATCTGTCAGTAAGTTTGAGAGTCCAAGGCTTCTGCGGAGCTTGAGGTCAGAGGACACTCAAGCTCTACAGACCCCTACACATATTGCCACGTGGCCTGCCTGTCTCCCCTCAGCTGCTGAGGGACTCCTGGCAGAGTTCTGTCATGGGCCCTGAGGAGCTCAGGAAGGCTTCGGAGGTTTGAAACACTTAGTTTGTGTTACACCTTCCCATCCCTTAGAAAGGATTTTTTTTAAAGATGTATTTATTTATTTTGAAAGAGAGGCAGAAAGAGGTATTCCATCCACTAATTCACTCTCCAAATGGCTGCAACAGCTAGAGTTTGGCCAGTTTGAAGCCAGGAGCCTGGATCTGGGTCTCCCACATCGGTGGCAGGAGCCCAAACACTTCTGCTGCTTTCCCAGGCTGTTAGCAAGGAGCTTGATCAGAAGCGGAGCAGCCAGGACTCAAATCCGCACCCATACGGATGTCAGCCTTACCCACTACACTCTAAAAAGGGTGTATTTTAAAAAAATTTACTTGGGGCCAGCTCTGTGGTATAGTGGGTAAAGCTGCTGCCTACAGTGCCGGCATCCCATATGGGCGCTGGTTGGAGTCCCGGCTGCTCCACTTCCGATCCAGCTCTCTGCTATGGCCTCGGAAAGCAGTAGAAGATGCCCAAGTCCTTGGGTCCCTGCACCCATGTGGGAGACGTGGAAGAAGCTCCTGGCTCCCAGCTTCAGATCAGCCAATTGGGGAGAGAGCCATCGGATGGAAGACTCTCCTCTCCCCTCTCCCCTCTACCTTTTCCCTTCTCCCTCTCTCCTCTCTGTCCTCTCTGTCCTGTCTCTCTCTACCTCTCCTCTTTGTGTAACTCTGACTTTCAAATAAATCAATACATCTAAAAAAAAAAAAAAAAAGTAACTTTCAGCCAGAGTGCATGTGTATAAATCTTGGATATATAATCATGTATTTAGTCATTTTAGTTGGATTACATAACTGCAAATTGAAATTGTTACACAGGATTTTGGAAACTGAGCCATTTGGGTATTGTTAGCAGGTGAAAGCCACAGCCTTTTGAGTGCTTTCTGAGCCCCATCAGCTGCTTGAATGCCAACAAGCTAAGCAAATCCAAACAACCGAAGCAAACTGCCCATCAGCTAAGGGCTAACAAACATGGTGATAATGTAATTGGGTGGCTTCTGTATAAGTTACCTTGACAGCAGATCATTAGAGGAATGCAGTCTCAAAGCAAAAGGAATTATAAGCACATTTTGAACTTATTCAGTAATTATATTGCTGTTTTTAATACTGCTTTTTTGGGACTCCTTCACTTGCAAGTCAAATAAATAATTATGGTTTCTTTGTGTTGCTTATACCACCAAGCAAAAGATGTTGGAGATGTTGCATGCTAGAACTATTTAAAATATTTCTTCTATGACGGTAGGAATTAGAGTTGACCTACAGAAGCATAGTCTCTCCTTGCTCCCAATCTGCATTTGAGGAAAAGGGTTGGTTCCCAAAAGGAAGGTGCTTCCTCCTCACAGCGCTCCACTCTCATGCTCAGAAAACCTGGCTTTCATGTGTGTTCCAGGTCTTTCCACAATACCAATTAAAATGTCTATCGTGCCATAGCAGGTAAAGCCACCGGCTGCTGTGCTGGCTTCCCACATGGGCACCAGTTTGAGTCTCGGCTGCTCCAATTCTGATCCAGCTCTTTGCTGTGGCCTGGGAAAGCAGTAGAAGATGGCCCACGTCCTTGGGCCCCTGCACCCTCATGGAAGACCTGCAAGAATCTCCTGGCTCCTGGCTTCAGATCGGCACAACTCCAGCCATTGTGGCCAATTGGGGAGTGAACCATCGGATGAAAGACCTCTCTTTCTCTCTGCCTCTCCTTCTCTGTGTAACTCTGGCTTTCAAATAAATAAATAAATCTTTTAAAAATTTTAAAAAATATGTCTATATGTTAAAACATTTTGATCCCAGTTGATTTACATCCATGGGAACCATAGGGGCTGACTGATATCACAACAAAGAAAAGAAATCAGTAGGCAGGGAATGGCTGGCTGCAAGCTTCCCAAGTTTAATCAATCAACTAGATTAACCAGACCCTGAGGCCCAGGCGTAGGCCTCAGAATGCCACTTTTTTGCTTTACGACTTGAACTTGGGGTGGGGAGGAATACCAACACAACATTCCCCAAAGAGTGAGTAGCAGAGAAAATCGTAGTTCCTTGTGTTCTACCGACTTCCTGACTGTCCCATGTTTAGGTAAGTTTTGCAAGGTAGCCTTATCTTTAATAGCCTAATCCTGTCCTGATGATTTGGTTTTATCAGATGAGGACTTTTAGGTGTTTTGGAGCAAAAGCATTGATGCAAAGGCCTGACATTTAAAAAAACAAATAAAACACTCCAAGAAAGCAATTGTTCCTGTTGAGTTACCCTAGGGTAACAAAAACAGACGTGTCTGTCCTTGAAGATCTCTGCTGGGCTTCTCAGGACCAGGAATGGCCTTTAAAAGGGAGCTGCTATGGAAAATGTCCAATTTCTATTTTTTTCCATCTTAAAACTTCACAGGCAAGCCTCTCTTTTGTATGGCTGATGAGACAATTGCATTTGTTCTCCCTTAGTTGGGAGCTGGGAAGACAGTATTGTATTTAATTTGACTTTGGCTTTTTTCCTCTGGGCAAATTGCAGGTCCGTTGGACAACTACAAAATGAAATAGGAAATGTAGCTAACTCTGTTTGACTGCAGCTGCATTTCTGCATATTCCAACGGTTGTGCAATTAAAATTTGAATTTATTTTAATAACCTCAGGTTTCCTAGAATTTCCGTGTGTGTTGGATGTTTCTGAGGGTGGGTGTATTAAAGATAAAATTGTACCTATGGGAGAATTCACAGCTTCTTCCATGTCACTTCAGATTTATCTCATGAGTTGCTGCAGGTGAGAATTTCTCCTCTGGTGAAGTTTATTATGGAAGCTTCAATTGAGCTTATAAGTATTGTTTTCAAATATAAATGTTCTATTTTGGGGTCCAAGTGAAAGACAAAGCTCCAATTTAAGTTATAGTCATAACCAAATACAGATTTTTAAAAATGAAATACCTTTTCCCTCATCAGGAGACTTTTCCTCAACAAAGCGTTAAAGATGCATTCTGTGACTTATTCTGGTATACCTAAAATGTGTTGTTTTACTTAAAATAGAGTTGATTATTCAGATAACATATTTGAAAATTCTCTTACTTGCTAAATTGAATTTATAACCCCCAAATCTGTGCTCACGGCACTTCTGGTATCATTAGCAGACAGGCCCATGCACACAAGGATGGAAACTTCGAATCACGGGGCACATGTGCTTCCAGCTGAGGTCAAACAGTAGCATGGGACTCTTGTTTGAGCACTTGAGTTGAATACAGATGATCTTCTGGCGCCCAAGCATACAAGCTATGTTCTGGTGTTCCTAAGCTTACGAAGGCTGTGATGTGCCTTGCAGAGAAAATACATGTGTCGGATAGATTTGGTGCAGGTGTGTTATAGCTCATTTGGCCTTAAGTTCCACCCTAATAAACCAATATATAACTTTGTTTTATGTGAGTTTCTGTTTGAAGACATTATGTGTGTGTGTATATATACATGCAGTTTTAGTTACCTGTGCTCAACTGTGGTCTGAAAATATTAAAAAATTCCAGAAATAAACAATTTTTAAGTTGTAAATGAATTGTGAACTTAAGAACTTGTGTTTGGGGCACAGCGAGTTAAGCCACTGTTTGTAATAGCGGTGGCTGGTTCAAGTTCTGGCTCTTCCATTTCCTATCCTGTTCCCTGCTAATGCACTTGGGAAAGCAGCAGAAGATGGCCCATATCCTTGGGTCCCTGAACCCACACGGGAAACTCAGATGGAGTTCCAGGCTTCAACACTGCCCAGCTGTGGGTTGTTGTGGCCATTTGGGGGGTGAACCAGTGAACGGAAGATATTCTCTCCCCCTCCCTCTCCTGTTCTCCCTTCCTCTCCCTCTCCCTGTAACTCTGCCTTTCAAGTAAATTTTTTAAAATTTTTTTTAACATATTGTTTCATGAAATATATGGGTATATTTTAACAATCCTATTTTATTATTTCTGTTAATCTCTTACTGTGCCTAATTGACAAACTATCATAGGCATATATTTATAGGAAGATCTATATAGGGTATATGGTGTATGTAGGGTTCAATACCATCTCTGCAGATTCAGGCATCCACTGGGGGATCTTTGAACATATTCTCTGTAGATAAGGGGGGGGCGGTATTGTGTACTTATATATTTGTTGCAGTGGATTCGTTCTGAGAGGAGGAATGTGGTAGGGGTAAGAGGCACGGAGTCACCACACAGACCCCAGGAGTTGGGTGAAAGCAGGCCAGAGGCGAGCAGCCCACAGACTCTTTTATTTCAGTTGGTACAGCCGTTTAAATAGTGAAGGCATCCAATCCGGTAAAGGGCGGTTTATGCCCTAACCAATCATAGCCTGTTGCCAGGAAGGCTCCGTTGCCAGGTGGGTTTCGAAGCCATTCCTGAGTAACTGATGCTCCTTTACCAGGGGCCATCTTGGCATGGCCTTCTCA